GTTCTGCTGGGTCTGTTGTTGATGAACTCTGCGCCTGCTGTTGGTTTAAAGTCGCTGCAGCTCGTTAACCAGCTGCTGTTGGTTCTGATAATTGGCCCAATTATCCAATTAGAGCGTTCTGGAGACGATGCTGATGTGAGCACATTTGCCCCCTAACCCCACCCACCGAGAGGAACCACGAAGATCCAGAAAGAACCATCAGTGAGGCTGAAGCCAGAACCATCAGGTCCAGTTTGTTTGAGAGAAAAGTCTGATTTATGAGAACCACTGAAGTCTCGAGTTCACAGAAATAAAGAGTTAAATTCTGTCAAACTTTTCTCTCAGAACCAGAACCGAGCTCTGTTTCCTCATGTTCCTGTGTTCTGTTCGACCCGTCTTTATTCCAACGGTGTCGTCTTTCAGTCTCTGTCTCTGCCTCCGTGTGTTCTGAACCTGCAGCTCTCACAGATAAACCTGGACTCCGTGTGTTTGCTGTGCTGAACAGAACCCGGTGTCAGGGTGACATTTTGGTCCGAGACCAGGACAAACCGGCTGATCCTGGAGCTGCTGACTGATCCGACTGGTTCCGTGCTGCTCGTTGATCACGCTGTCACCGTGAAGCCGCCTGCAGATTTATGGAGCCGCCGGTTCTGGATCAGCGCTGGGGTTCTGCTGAATGATGAAGCAGAGAGAAGCTGGACGGAAACGAGCCATTCATCCTGGATCCTGTGAAAGTCATCCAGCACCAGGTTCGGACTGAAGCCGCTTTGTGAGGCCGAAGAAAATAATTAGAGGAAGGTCTTCAGTTCAGCAGGAGTGGAAATAATTACACAGCAGTCTGAGTTTCTCACGGCCGCACACGACTCAGGAAAACACCTCGACCGGCCGGAGCTCCGGGTCTGCAGCCGGACCAGAGCCATGAGTCACGGCTGGAACCGACATCAGGCGGGTCTCCAGCGTCTCAGAGACTCAGCAGAAGAGTCTGTGGATCAGAGTCTGTGGACGAAGCAGCCATGAAGAGGATCACACTGACTGACTCCACAGCTCTCTGGTTCTGCTGAACAAATAGTCCGGTACCTGCAGACGGTCCAGAAACCTGCTGCTGTGGGTTTATATCTAGATGGATAGATAGATAGATGGATAGATAGATGGATAGATAGATAGATAGATAGATATATAGATAGATGGATAATGAAACACAGCATGAATCAAGGCTCAGCGTGTTCTCTGTCACAGATCCAGTATTTAATGTTCACATTTAAAGGATTAGAAATAAAACGGGTTCACTGTTCTGATGTCTTCAGAGGATGAATCAGGTAGAACTTCAGCTTCATGTGGGCTGAGCAGAACCAGACTGTGTTTAACGTCCAGCAGAGGAAACAAAACGGGAAGAAAAAGATGGAAGTCAAAGGTCCAAACAGAAGGTTCCCCAGAGTGGTCAGAGAGGAACCAACAGACTGGAGCAGAGGACCGGCGCCGCCTGCAGCTCAGACGGGTTTCTGCACATTGTTCTGCTGAATGTTTCCTGCCGTCGTGTTTCTGTCTTCGGTTCGGTCCGACTACGTGTCCCGCGATGACTCGCTGTCAGCAGAGTCGAGTCTGAGAGTCTGAGCCGCTCCCAGCCAACAATCACAACAAGGAAGAGCAGCTGTCAGCGCCGAGCTCCACCCGCAGAGGAACCGGGCCGCCACAGAACCAGCCGCTCCTCAGACCTCATCAGATAAAACCTGCTTCGACCTGATGGACAGTCAGACCGCAGCTGAACCCGGACCGGCCCGTTTACTGACAGACGGTTCAGGGAAGAGACGGAAGTCCGTTTGTCTTTTTCATTCACTGCTTTTAGATTTTATTTCTAAAATGTGGCCAAATTCACATTTTCCATCCGAGCAGCAGTTTAATAAACACCAGAGATCCAGTCTGACACCGTGTTGGACCGTCTGCTCAGGACACAGCGAAGTGTGGAAACATGGTCCAAACGACACAGAACAGGACCAGGTGGTGTAGAAGCAGAACAAATAGAGCAAAGTGTGGAACAAAAGAGTGAAAACAGTTCAGACCAAATACAACGTGATGCAAAGCAAAGGCTGAGAACTGGTGAAGCAGCAGCTCTCCACACCCAAACCTTCACTTATCTCCAAGTGTAGTTTAAAAGTGACATTTTTTCATCAGCGCCGCCGTCCTGGTTTGAGCAGGAGGTAAAAATAATCCTCCGTCAGTAACGGACAGATCGGACGCCAGAGAACATTAAACAAGCTGATGAGACGTTCGACTCGTTTCTAAAAACAGAAAGTTGATCTCATCAGAGTTCACGTCTAAATTTAGAAACTCGGACTTGTTTTGGGCGGAGATCTGCTCATCAGTGATGCTGCTCCACCCGCCGCCTGTCAGGAATGGGTTCTGGTGAAAACCCACAACAGACCACTTCAGATTCTATCGGCTGGTTCCACCTCCAGGTTCTGGCTGATGTTGGTTGTGTTCTCAGATTAGACAATGAACGATAACGTCATCCAGACGTGTATATGATCATATGTGTCGTTTATATTCTGCTTGTAAAAGAGAGACGGAAAAGAAAGGTTTAAAACAATTCCATGGGAAGTAATTAGTTCGACTGTGTTCGGTGAAATATTTCCTTTTATCATAATTTGACCTTTTTGTCATTTAACTGTAATTAACTGTAATCAGTCACCAGCTGCAGCTGTGAGGGAGATGCTACCTGATCCGCCTTTGACCGATCAGGACCAGTAGATCTGAACCTGGATCAGTAGATCTGAATCAGTAGATCTGAACCTGGATCAGTAGATCTGAATCAGTAGATCTGGCTCGGTACTCGGGTCGGTACTCGGGTCGGTATGTGCCTCGCCACGTGCCTCGCCGGCGCCCCCGCTGGATGTGTTGTGATGTCGGCTGTCATCAAACGATGATGAGGAGAGATAAAGGGAGTCCTAATCGCCTGCTCAGCCAATCAGAGGCGAGTGTTGACATGATGTCATCCCCTCGGAGGGCATCAATAGGTTATCTGAAGGTAAACATCCTGCAGCGGGTTCATGGGCCTCCACTGCTGCTGGGTTTTGTTCCCTGAGCAGCGCCTGCAGGTGGAGGGCAGGACGGCTACAGATAGAAACTAAACCTGAAACACGAGTGTTTAAAGATTCATGTGTGTCAGTTTGAAGCTGATGGAACGGGAGCTTTAAATCTTTTATTTGACTAAACCGGCGCTGTATTGCTTCATGCTCACGCTGTTGGTGGACAGATGAATAAATCTCTGGTTCCAGCCGGTGGATGTCAATGTTCTCGTCTCTGTAGACTCCTGCTGCTGGTTTGAGGATCAGCTGAAGCTTTGGGAACATTTTGCTCCTCTGCACTTTGTCTCTTCTGATAAATTAGTTTTTTATGTGAAACATGTAAAACTGAACTTCAGGAGGTAGAAACAACCAGAGATGAGAACAGAGCCGTGAAAGTCTCTGTTTGCTCCATTTTTACTATTTTCTACAAACTCCAGACTGGACTTGGTTCCAGCTTCTGCTTCTGTTTGTTTTGTCAAACATCCACAGCACATGATTTTTCCCACAGAGTGAATGGGTCGGTGTCAGAGTCCCGTCAGGTTGTTCTGACGTCCTCAGACGCTGGTTCCGTCCTGCAGCAGCGAACAGCTCCAGGATCTCTGAGCTCCTCGATGTGACGTCTGAGCCGAGGATTCCTGCTGCTCCTCCCGACCTCATGAATGAATGAACGAGTGTTTCATGTGGAAATTGTTATTCTAACCACATACAGAAGTGTTTCTGGGCTGTTATGGAAAAGTAATTGGAGCAATTAGAGAGGAGGGACATGTGTCGGGGGGTCGGGGGTTTCCCAGAACAGTTTCCTCTGCAGCAGCACCGTGGAAACTCTGGTGGCTTCATGTGGAGCTGAACCGACGTATCTGATGACCAGTTAGGCTTTATTCACATAGAAGCTGCTACAGGCTAACATGCTAACTACCATTACACCTGTTAAGAGACACAACACTACTGTAGACACACAAACAAAACACCAAACATTCAAATGTCTTTAAAAGAACCAAACAACTCAGGATGAGATGTTGCTTTCAGAGCATTTGGTTCCGGATGACGCATCAGGGTGTTGTGTTGGGACACTGGTTGTACGGTGGGTTCAGGACGGTGGGTTTGGGGTGTTGGGTTCAGGACGGTGGGTTTGGGTCTTGGGTTTGGGGTGTGGGGTTTGGGGTGTGGGGTTTGGGTCTTGGGTCTTGGGTTTGGGGTCTTGGGTTTGGGGTGTGGGGTTTGGGTCTTGGGTTTGGCGTGTGAGGTTTGGGTCTTGGGTTTGGGGTGTGGGGTTTAGGGTGTTGGGTTTGGGTCTTGGGTTTGGGGTGTTGGGTTTGGGTCTTGGGTTCGGGGTCTTGGGTTTGGGGTGTGGGGTTTGGGTCTTGGGTTTGGGTCTTGGGTTTGGGGTCTTGGGTTTGGGTCTTGGGTTTGGG